TATAAAACTATAAAAATTACAAAATTACAAAATGAGTTTTTAAATGCAAGATCATCTGAATATTTTAATCTCTAAGCAAGTAGAAAAATTACTGAATGAAACTATATTTAAAAAAATATGTTTGAATACATTCAGACTGGCCATGGTTAGTTACCATGTATAAGTAATCATGCTATGCTTAAAACACCATTTCAACAAGAGGTTACTATTTCTACTATACCCAGGTGAGCACAATTAAATCTCATAGGTTTAAAAATGGACTAAATACACTTCAAGAAAAGAGTTGCAGTAAGAAAACAAGAACAAAGCAGCACAGTATTTATTCCTGCAATAGACCAATAGTTGAAATAAATTTGACACATTATGTAAATACATTTCTAATTTTTGAGACACATAGTTCCAATGTTCATCTTCCCACTTCTGGCCCTACTGACAGACATGATTCATTTGAAATGTAAATACACGTTAAAAGCTTAGAATGTTATTTCCGTCATCAACAGTTTAAAATTCATCTAGTCCCATCAACTTGAATGTGCACTTTGACATATTAAAAAATCCAATGAAATAAATCATAATGTCAAATGACATTGAATTCCTCTGATTTCTATTTATTATAGCGTGAAAACATGTATTATTACTACTTACCCTGAGAAATCTGTAGTGAGAATACCATACTGGAATATGAATATTCGGCTAATATGGCACAGCGTGAGGTATCCCATAGCTACCAAAAAAGAATACCTAGAATCATATGCATTGATAGCATGAAACACTTAGCCAAAACACTACAATCAAAACAGCTGTAAGGACAGTAAAACCTGGCTCCCAATCCAGCTATTTATTTTGCTTAGGCTTGCCTGCCTCTGTCTGATCCATTATCAAAAAGTTAGCCAGCCAATGTTCATAATTTCATAACATGTGGGTCTCTAAACTATAGCTAAAATCTTTTCCTGACATTTCAGTTCTCCATACCGTGGCATACTGCAGACAACTGTCCTTCCTCCCTCCCTCTTGGTAGTTGGGATGGGAGCAGAGTAAATATGGCTACATATTGTTCACATAAAAAAGCTGTCAGAGAAGGGGCAAAGCTAGACTTTTATTTGTCATAAATAAATAAATAAATAAATCCCCCCCCCCCCGGCAAAAGCATTTCCTTCAGTCTTCCCAAACCACATTCTTCAGATGCAGAATCAGATCAATTCCAATTTTTATTAAGGTTATAGACCAGCATATGGAGGGTAGGGTATAGTTAATTAAAAAGCATCAAAGATACATTGGAGTTTATAAACAAAAGGTTCTGAAAAGCTAAAAGATATAAAACAAAGTATATGTAAGAAACAAAAATCTAAAAGAATCTATAAAGGGGAGGTAGGAGCATTAGATGGCTGTGGGGGAGCATAAAGGTTAGTATATGGCAGACTATATCAAATTATAGAGCACTCTAGTATGACAAACTAGATGCTCATTAAGTCTAGTTCATGGCACCTATCTGACAATTTTAATTGCTGCTGTGCAGAACCTGGCAACATTATATGTTGTAGCAGGGCTGGTATCTGAAAGCAGCAGGGAGATATAAAATTGTCCTGTGTGCCCTGGGTATTTATGCAGTAATGGTGAGAATTCAGATGCAGAAATACAGACTGGAATTCTAAGACTTATAGTTCAAGATACCAGACACCAAGCTGGAGAAGGCTATCCTGAAGTCTTTTACTTTCAGAAAAACTAGCACAGGGCAAAGTGGGGGCTGGCAAGCATGCCAGAGACACTCTCACAAAATGACTTGGCATGGCAAGTCTTAAAGCCTATTTGTCAGAAGGGAACTGGGGAGTTTTTCTCACTACTCCATCTAGCCCCATAGGGCTCGCCACAGATACTTATATTTACTAAGAAATCCTTCATAGGGTCCAGAGCAGTCTTGAAAATAAAGATGTTGCTAGAGACTAGCGCTACACACACACACACACACACACACCCTATTTATTTTTCTTTATTAAAATAATCTTAAATAAAAGTAAAATCAGGGGGGCAGAAAATATGGTAGGTGCAAATGCATTGGTGGTGATATGTACCTTCTTGCTTCTTCTTGAATGAACATACAGCATTGTGATAGATTATTAATTGGCACCCAATAAAGTAGTATAGAATAAAAGTAGATAATCTGTGGCACTACAGGCGTTTCTGAAGTACAATTTCCAGCATCTCTTATCACTTGTCTTGCTAATTACAGGGTTGCTGTGTGAGTTGTAATTCAAGTTGCAGCTCCCTACAGTTGGTTAAACTGAGTAACCTTGTATCAGCATTTTCTATTAATACAAATATTTCAAGTTTTTTCAAGGGCAGTTCCACTCAGAAAATATTGTATCTAAGCTGGACTAGTAAGGCATGTAAAAAGAAGAGCCAGCACACTTTAAAAACTTTAAAACAAGGGTGGACAACCTTTTGATGACATTAGACTACATTTAATGTTTTTGGAGGGCCACAGTGGGTGAAATAATTATGCATAGTGGATAGGGATATGCAAACATTTAGACTTTTCCAACCATACTAGAAGTGTTCTAAGAAAAAAAAGGTCCTTTTCAAGTTTTAAACACTTCTAGTGCCATTGAAACAAACTCCAAATGGTGAACAACAGTGTCATCATTTTGCATAAATCTCTGGTGACTTCAAAGATCAGGCCTGGGAGCTGCATAGTACTGGTTGCCTACTCTTGCTTTACAACAATCTTATAAAATCCATTATGCTGAAAGACAGTGATTTGCCTGCTTATCCCATGGTTGAGCAACAGGGCTCTGAAATGTATAGGTATAGAGTAAGGAAGATGACCTTGATGGAGATAAGCAAGATTCTGTTATTAATCTGTAGCCAATTGCAGTAAACTTAGTTTTAGCTTTCCTGTGGAACTGATGTCTTGGTTTGGTCTACCTAGTTGGGCTGACATCAATCTTGCAAGTCTGATTGTGCCGTACCTCTTCCTCCGCCTCCTTATGGCTCAGTGAATTAGGGAGGTATATGTCTGAGCCATTTCAGAATATTTTCTGTCTGTTGTAGTCTTAAAATATATTTCATCGCCCATTATCCTGGCAATGGATCTTGCATATCTCCATCAAGGCCATCTTCCTTGCTCTTTAAAATAGGTCCCTTTAATCACTACTCTCCACTGCCTTACAACGGCTGAAATATGAGATGCCACAAAAGAAGGCAAGGACATGATAATTAAAAGAAGGGAAAGAAACAATAACATTTTAAAATATTACAGTTTTTAACACTTACAGTAGATATACAACCTCACCTATGAACGTTGGGAATACTGGCCATGTTCATGATGCCATAGCTTATCATCACTAAAATAAAAATATGGATGGAGTACCTTGGAAAAGAAGAAAAAGAAGTTCAATTTTCCAAGGTCAGTGATAGGTAACAGAAGACAACACTTTTCTGAATTAACTAAAAATTATATAGAAAGAGTCCAATTATGAAAAACTCTTCAAATCAGTGTTTACTTTTTTTTAAAAAAAAGTTTGCTCTTAAACGACAGAGTGAATACATGCATCTTTCTTGAAAGAATCTACCTGCTGATAAAAGAACTTTTAAGTTTTGTTTCATAATGTTATAGTTGCCCAGTAAATGCTTTACAACTCCCAGAATACAAACTACTAAATTCGTAACATTGAATAGAAAGTTAGACAAAAATGACTCACCAACCAAAGCAGAAGACAGCAAAATATATTCCCAAAATTGTTGCAAATGCATGACGAACACCAGAGCTGGCCTGACTAGGCCTCAAGTACAAGCGAAACCAAAATGCAGCCAAGAGTGCAAAAAGCTGACAAGCAACAAAATTGACCTAAAGAAATATGAAAATAGATTGGAATCTCTCTGAAATTATTGTTATCACTAGCAAGAAAAAAAAATTGTCATAAAACCCTGGAGATGTTGTAGTAAGTTTCTCATCACAATAATCAGTCAGCTTGAAAGAAGTGGGGGGAAGAGTTCTGAGCAATTTGTTTACCTCTATTTAAAGCTTGGTAATACAATAAATGAGTAAATTGCCTTTGCTGTTTATTTCAAGCAAAAGAAGCCTAGATTTGATCTTAAAAATCCAGACCTTGGATTAAATCCAGATTCACAGTGCAGTTCTGCATATATTTATTTAGACATACATCCACTGAGTTCAGTGGGGTTTACAAGTTCTTTAGAAAGGAATGTTGCTTTCTGAAAGCATTTCTTTGAATTTGAAGGCAAACAAGAAAATTAGCCAAATTAATTCCAAAGATTTATTCAAAGTAAATTAATAGAAGCACACTGTGGCCTACTACTACAGGATCACAATTTGCAGGATTAAAGACTGGAATACAAACATTCATATTCCACTTGGGCAATTTCCCATGAGATTTTCATGTGCTAAAATAGTCATCACCAACAAACATATACACAAGCTGTTCTGTTCTGCAGAACTCTTCCCTGGAAAGATATAACAAGGCATCATGGCTTAAACTGTGCCCCCCCCCTTTTTTTATTTCATTACTTCTTACTCTTCCTCTGTTTTTGCAATATCTTGCTTGATGAAAAGTTCTGAGAATTCAAAAGGCTATATATACTTCAACTGGCTCTAATTTGAATAGGATAGGCATTTCAAACCATATATAGCACAAAACTTTGCTAAAAACATAATTTTTTACTATTGCACATATAATGTGACAGAGCCTTATTTTAGAAAGTTACAAGCAGTTGCCTGATGAAGGCAAAGCAATCAGATGAATAAATTCTTTTGTAGAATGTATGTTATTCTGAAATGGAAAATCATAACCTCACAATAGTATTAAAACATGTATTTATTAATAGACATTTCATTTCATTTCATGTATGTGATCTGACTGTTTTGTACTGCAACACTGATTTTATCAGTAAATTCTACTCTTTTCCTATTTTAAATACTCTATAAAGCTTCTATGATTTAAACTTTACAACTGGAACATCTTCTCTTCATAGACTACCTACTGTGAAGCAGATGAAGGAGTAATTACTAGTCACCTGTAAGGAGAAGACTGGGCTGATTATGAAGTCCATAAGTCAGCACATACATGAAAAGGGAAAGTATTTCAATTAATCTTTTTCAAATTAAGAGTAGATTTGAAGAATCTTTTACACCAAGGTCAGAGATGTTATACTATTCTATTTAGTGGTTGAAGAAAAGGTGGCTTTGATCCAGATGAAATTTTCTCTATGTCTCAATATTACTAAGACATTCCTGATTATTCTGTTCTAAACAAGGAAACTCTACTTCTGATCCTTAAATCAACCTCCCCTGGGGGCACAAACATATGGGGAGAGTTCCTGGTGTGCATGGAGATGGCTACCTTAGATTATGGGGAGACTGGTTAATTGCCATCAGTTATAGAGATTACTTGGTCCATACAAACTTCCTGGGATATGTAGGTAAAAACTCATGTAGATTCACTCCAATCCCACGCATGACAACTATTTATACTGTGATAAACTAAGGAATTTTGAGGCCACTCTTAGTAAAAGAGTTGGCAAGAAATCAAGAAGACATGCTTGGCATGCTTTCCCCACCTTGTTTTAAAATAATTCAAGTAAGTTTCAGTTTTGTGAAGGCTGCCACACAGCTTGCCAGCTTCTCTAAGTGGAATTGTTGGTCTAAGCACAAAGAATAATTAATGGGAACATAATTGACCAAGGAAAGAAAATGTGTGGTTACCGTTGCTGTAAGCAGCCCAGATTTTTATTGCAAGCATTGTTTGCTGTATAACTAGAAAACTAATCTTTAGAACAATTTTATTTAATTTATGTTAAATATTTGTTCTTATGCATATATTTATGAACATACTTATTCATAAAATGTGAATACTTAATTTATATTATATCTCAGTTTATCAGTTAACATCAATATTAACAAGGAAATAACTCACCAGTTCTAAGTTTTGTTCTGGCAACAAGTACTAAAAAATAATTGTATATGCCATTAAAATAATACTACATCAAAATCAGATGGTGTGTTGTGGGAAAAAAATCCAAAATCTATTTTAAGGTAATACTTTTATTAGCCCAGCTGAAGATTTACCCATTATCATGCAACAGAAAAATACATCAGGAAAGAGCATAAACATTCCATCCAAAAAAATGTGTCATGGGAGAAATGTAACTGTTTTTTAAGTGTTTCATGAAGTTATGAAAACACATATTTAGAATTGGGTGGAAATAAAATTATTCTGTGCTAATTCTGATCCACTAACATGAATCTTGTAATCCTTTGTTTTCAGCTAATTAAAAATTGGAAGGACATTTAGTTTGATGCAATGATTTTCATAACCAACAAAACAACTGTATATGTAATTTTAGAGAAAACCATTTATAATTCAGAAGTATAACTTATAGTAAGAGATTCAGCACTTTCTGGAGCCTGCTATTCTCAGTTCCTTGGAAAGTTATACAGTAAAAGAAAAAAAAAACCCTATACTATGGTGATTAAGATAAACTAAATATGACATAAAAGAGGGAGAAGAGGCTAATTTACCAACCCCCCCCCCCAAATCCATACATATCCACAGGTATCAATATAAAATTGATTCCATTCTTAAATTTAACATTAAATCTAGACCATGCAGAAACTTATTACTTCATCTACATAGCATAACTATCGCATCTGAATGCATTATTTTCAATGTAAGGGGGAAAAACATTAGAAATGATATAATTTACACTCTAAAATTATGACACTTACTTCTCAAAATGACTTGGGCCTATATAATGCCAGTAAATCTGAATACAATTAATGCTTTGATATAGAATAATATCTAATAATCTGATTTATAACATACTACAATCTTGAAAAGGCAAGGCGTTATCTCAAATACTTTCCTCAAGATTTTGAAAATAAGAGTCTTGGATCAAGTGCTGGGCTTAAATGCTTTTTGTATTGATTTATTTATTTACAAATATTTGTATGCCCCCTAATCACATGACTCTATGCAGCTTACATTATCTGACTTCTAGCACACACCATCTCATCAGCATGGGGAAAAGACATTGAGTGAAGTAGAAGAATTCATATTACAGGTTATCCTTGAGTTACGATGGTAATTGGGACCAGAATTTCCATCGCTAAACAATGCGGTCACAAAGTGTGACACCACATGACCGCATCGCTTAGCGATGGCAACCCCTGCAGTCCCTGTTGCCATCATTAACCGAATACCACTGGTCATTAGGCTAGGACCTACCCCGATCCAGGCCGTTCCTGGCTTGGTCCCTCCCAGACCTGAGCCTTGGTAAGGTAAGAGACTGCCTCCTCTTCAACTTCCCCCATCTGCCTACCTCCCCCCCGCCACATCTCTACCCTTCCAGGCACCTGCACAGCAGCACTCCTTGGCAGCAGTGGTGGTGCTGGGGCTGAAGTAGAGGCCTGAGGGTGGTGGCGGCCAGCTGAGACTGCTGAAGGCACCAGGCCTCTACTTCAGCCCCAGCCCTGCCACTGCTGCCGAAGAGTGTCACTGTGCAGGGCAGCCAAAAGGTCAGAGATGGGGGGAGATAGGTGGGTGGGGGGAGTTGAAGTGCCCTGTGGTCGTAAGTGTGGGTGGGCTTCCAAGCATCAGAGTTTTGATCACGTGACTGTGGGGCGCTGCAACAGCTGTAATTTTGGGGACCAGGCATAAGTACCATTCGTTCAGCACTGCCATAACTTCAGTTACTGAATGAATGGTCATTAAGCAAGGATTACTTGTAGTTGAAACTTCTACTTAAAGCAAAAATGATTTCTATTTAAAGCAGCAGCAATATGTGATCCTACAGCTGCTGATGGATGGCAAATCCCATCATTTCTCACTACTTGCCATACCGGCTAAGGCTGATGGAAATTAGGATTCAGCAACATCTGCAATATTGCCATCTCTAAATCAAAGAATCAGAGAAAGGGAAGAAGAGGGAAATATTGCCAACATAGTATTTAGTGGTTTTGAGAGGCAGTTTGGTCTAGCGGTTAAGGTATCAAGCTAGAAACCAGAAAACTCTGAGTTCTAGTCCTGCCTTAGGCATGAAAGTCGGCTGGGTGACTTTGGGCCAGTCACTCTCTCTCAGACCATGACATCAGCCTCAGGCAACAAGCCGGTCAGTCAAGTCCTGTTGCAACTAATGGATCAACATTCAGTTGATCCGAAAAAAGCAGACCCTGCACCTGCGGGAAAACTCTAGGAAGAAAAAAAATAGCATTTAGTGACTATTTCTGCTACAGTGAAATAATTGTACATGCTATAGGAAGTGGTTGATTGATAAACTGTCAACCCATCTCTGGCAAGTTCACAAGTGCTTGTTTCTAGATTTAATAACAAATATAATGCAAATAATGCTGAATTACCATTTAAAAGAATTTTCACTGTCCTTAATAAATGCCCAGAATTATTAAAGACACACATTAACTACTATGAGATTCTATGTAACAATACACATTCATCAACATCTGGGACTCAGACAAGGAAAAAAGGACACTACTGTACACAGGGCTGAAATTCCTTGCAAGAATCACGTTTGCAGTAATTACTGAGCTTTAACATTTATTTATCAAAATAAGTTTAATGAAATTTTCCTTCTGTTAGAGATGATACAGTCTTGACATAAGATTATTTCACAATGAAGACCTGAGAAAAAAAATGTTATCAGCATCTGGAAAAATGCATTTCTTTTCAGCAAGTGAGGATGCAATACCTTCCGGCAAACCATTTTATATATAACTTTACACACAAATGTGTTTGCATTTTGTTCACGGTAAAAGTGTTGAACTAGATAGTGCCATTGCCTTCTTCAAAGAAAGGGGGGAATTGCCAAGTCCTT